GAGGCGCCCTTCCTCAGGCTGGTGGGGCTGTACGAAGTCGGAGAGGCCGAGAGGAAAGGAGAGGCTTCGTCTAACCGTGCCTTTGGGAAGCGGGGAAGAGACGCCTGCGGATCCCGGCGAAGTTGTTGGGAGGGCGGCGGCGGCGGCGTTAGTGCTGCCTCTTTGGCCTCCTGTCTCCCCGGGACTGGCGGGAGACTGAGATGAATGGTTTCAGCACGGAGGAAGACAGCCGGGATGGGGCCCCTTCCGCCCCTTTTTACGGACAGAGCTGCTGTCTCATCGACGACGGGGACCGGTGCGTCCGCCCGGCTGGCAACGCCTCCTTTAGCAAGAGGATCCAGAAAAGTATATCTCAGAAAAAGCTGAAGCTGGATATTGACAAAAGTGTGAGTACTGTTGCAGCAAGGATCTTGCCTTGCATGAGCTGTGCTCCCTCTACCTGTCATTGTGGACCCTTTCCTGGAAATAATTTGTGGCTCCCATGTTAACTTTCTGCTGGAGGTTTGTGAATCACAGAATCAAAAGTTTTAGTGCAGTTGCTGTATCAAGAGCCTGGAGCTGGGGATGAACATTGCTTAATGGTTGCTGAGCTCCATTGTTGTCTGCATATTAGTTAGAAATAACCTCAAAGGGGCTGTAAGCTGAAAAGTGTATCACTTCTGCAGTATTTTGTTATAGCTTATGTTTTAAGCACAGAAACCAATGTATGTAGAGATGTTCTTTTTGTTAGAGAGTGACTCTAAACAGCAAGTGTGGTGTGTGAGAAGTAACTATATTTGGGGGGGTGTCTGGATTCCCTTATATGAGAGTTACTGTATGTCGATATCAGTTTTCACTCTTTATAAAGATATTCCTAAATACATTCTGACAATAGATGGGAAAAGAGAACACAATCGATTTCAAGATTCTAATGATTACATATACAGCCCTAAACAGTTTAGGACATCAATACCTGTCAGAGCACCTTCTTCCATCTAGTTCTACCCATGTCACTCATTCTCGCCAGACTGGGTGGCTGAGGGGCTTAACTCCGAGAGAGACCCAGAAGGAAGAAAACTAGAAACCGGGCCTTTTTGGTGGTGGCCCCTTGCCTTTGGGACATCATCGCCTCTAAGATCCACCTGGCTCCCTTGCTGGGAGTTTTTAAGAGTAAACTGCAGACCTGGCTCTTCAGGCAGGACTTCCCTCCTGCCACTGCTTAATTTTTCATCTGGTTTTTGGCTTGTTTTAGTCTTTTTATTGATGATTTTAATTTTATTGCCTTTTTTGAACTGTAAACCACCCAGAGTAGATTTGTCTAGATGGGCGGTATAAAAGCCAAGCAAACAAACGAATAGAAATGCTGTTTTGTACAATGATAGATAGAATGACAGAATGTTTCACAATGTACAGTACATAGTACGCAGTGGGTTAGGAGAATAATATGTTGGAGATCAAGAGAATAAGTAATTTTGGAAGGGTCTTTGAAATAAGAGAAGTTGTACCCAGCTCAGAGCTCATAAAGGTAAGGGTGGAAGGCCTACAAAGCCATGTAAACATATAAACACAAGCATTGTTTGTCCCTTGCACCCTAATAGACACAGAGAACATCCAGTGCCTAAACAAAGGTCATCCAACTATGTGTATGTGCCAGTATTAATAGAAGACGCTTGTATGTGTATGTGTTTGTAATTGCGTATGTGTTTGTGTTTGTAATTGCATGATGAATGTGTATCAGTAGAGTTCCGATTGTTATATTGAAGTGATTCATTTAGCAACTCATATCTCCAACTCGGAACTGCAGTCAAGCAGTCTTGCAAAGGTTGATAGTTGCGGGAGTGTTTTCTTCTTGGCTAACATTATGAGGATTTAAGTGTTGCCAGCCAATTAGGGCTAACATTAAGCAACATCTGTCATCTAAACTGGAGCATCAATATTTGTGGCGTTAAAATTTGGTTACATTCGGTATGAGGTTAAATTATGATTTTTCTGACTGAAACTAAGCTTTTCATGTAAGTCAGAACTGTTATACCTTAAACTTTGTGGTGGGCAGAAGGTAGAAAAAATATTTGGGTACACAAAAAAGTAAATTCTGCAAACATTTTCCAGTTCTCAATCCCAACTTGTTAGATCCATTGAATCAATGATACTTTTGTAAGTATTGAATCATCGTCAGTTGGTTGACTAAATGGGCAGGGTACAAATTCAATAAATAAATAAATAAATCATCTTAGATCTGCAAAGCTGGAAGGGGCCTTGACACTGAGTCCAGCTCTTGTCAGGAAGACACAGTAGGGAACTGAACTCCCAACCAGATGCCTAAACCACTGAGCTATCCAGCATTCTTGCCTCGTTCCAACTGATTCAGTGGGGTTACTCTAGTTGTAGCTGTCAGTTGAATGTGGAAGCTTGAATTATAGCCAAAGGAGCATTATTAATCTTCTAAATACATAGAAGAGTCCCGTGCTGCTTAATGTGTCATAGACTTTTTTGGACTAGAGCTCAATTCTTTAGATGTTTATAGGATTATTATGGTTACTGTAGTGCCTTATTTTGTTTTATTTTGCCACCTGTTCATCCATAATACAAACATGCATGGAATATATAGTCTCTTAGTCACTGTGGTGTCAGGGTCATCAATTAAAAAAATTAAAGGAGTGGGGAGTACCGAATGATATTGGCATTAGTTCTTTCCAATAGGTCCATGGCCTTTTAGCTTCTTCTAGAGTGCTTCTGAGTAACTATAGAAGGGAGAATGTTTCCTTTCATTTGAGAGAAATACTTTCAGCTGCTCCACAAGCAGTTTCATTGTAAGCAACAGCTTCAATTCCCTAAACCCCTGCTTATTTTCATCTGGAAATTTACACCTGAATATGTTCCCTATGAAAAAAATCCTAAGCCTGCACTGATTAAATTTTGCAAGTGTCCACTTTTTATCTTTCACTGTATCCCTCTGCTGTATTGTGACTCTTGTGCCTTTTTAATTCTTAGGTAAGACACCTGTATATATGTGACTTCCACAAAAACTTTATTCAAAGTGTTCGAAACAAAAGGAAAAGGAAGACCAGTGATGATGGGGGAGACTCTCCAGAGCATGATACAGATGTCCCAGAGGTACTTAAAATTATGTGGTGGAAGTTGTTGCTGCTATTCAGTACTAGTTACATTTCTATTCATCTTGATCCATCTTTGTAGACCCAAATACAGCATAGTAAGTACACGGCTGAAGGCTGTGTCATATATTTTAGAACCCCTTCCCTATCAGTGGCTTCTATTAATCAGGGTGTTGTTTTTATAATGGACTGTAAGCATCATAAAAACATTGTAGAAGAATGTTACTGAAGATAGAATTCTGACAGAGTACACACAACTGATCTGTTGATTCACCCATATGTTGGCCACAATCCAAAGAGCCACATAAAACTGATATATTTTTTCTGTTGATAATAGCATCTTTAAAAGTTCTCTCCAGCCTGCTCTTTTTATGCTAGACTGCTACCTGTTTACCTAGACTCTTTAGATAGAATTTGCTTTAAAACTGGCTTTTCTTTTTGTAAGATCCTTCTACGGATATATACGGTGTTTTAAAAATTACTGTATTCCTTATTTTCGTTAATTATGCCATCTTTTGTAGGTTGACTTGTTCCAACTTCAGGTAAACACACTACGCCGTTACAAAAGGCATTACAAATTGCAAACCAGACCTGGCCTCAATAAAGCTCAGCTGGCAGAAGTAAGTTGATTAATGGACTTCTGTGTTTTCATCATATCAAATGTACTTTCTGTACCAGCAAATTTGAAGAGACACTTATTAGCAGGCCAAGGCAAAGAGGAAGTTCCGAAACCAACAAAATCAGGGAGCTGGATAGGGGACAGATTGTATTTGTCTTCAGTGTGGAAGGTGTGGAAGGGATTGTCACTCTCGAATTGGCCTTCTCAGCCACACTAGACGTTGCTCCAAGACCTCTACTCAGAGTACATTACCATAGTGTCTCAAGACTGAAGGATGCCTACAAAATCTACCAGCAAACATGTTTGCTTGACTTAATGCTTATTTGCAATTCTTAACTAGGTTCATTTAGTAACACTTAAGGAAGCATTAGATAAGTAGAATTGGAAGGGACCACATGATTCATCTAGCCAGACCCCTGCCAGTATAGAAAATCCACAGCAAAAGTGTCAATGACAAATGGCCATCCAATCATTGCTTTAAAACAGGGGTGTCCAACCTTTCACCTTCCCTGGGCCACATTAGAAGATGAAAATTTGGTTTGGGCCGCACATAAATTTAGTTTGGGCCACATGGTGGGGCAGCCCTAGCCATCCTCCATAGCCCTGCTCCAAGTGCGCTTACCGGCAGCTATGATCTCAGACAGCAAAGGCTGCCAGCTTCAACTCTGGCGGCTTTATGGGGCCGGGAGGGAGTCCACCTATTGACAGGGAATGCGCAATGCAGTCACGCAGGCCCCCTTCTCCCCTCCCCTCCCACTTCTTCCTTCCCTCTCTCCCCCCTCCACCGCTGTGACGTGCCCCAGCTGCATTCCGGCCGCAAGCGTCGGCAGTGTAACTTGAAACTTTGGAATTTCTTTAAAAATAAAAAATTGCACTGGGCCGCATTACGAGCTGACCTGGGCCGCAGGTTGGACAAGCCTGCTTTAAAACCTCCCACAAAAGAAATTCTATCACTTTCTAAGGAAGTATGCTCCACTGTCAAATAGCCCTTACTGACAGGGAGTTCTTCTGATTTTTAGACAAAAGGTAATATATTCTCAGCATGTTATCACTGCTTCCAACTTTTAATTATTTTTCACATCAGAAAAAAATCTTTCATTCCCCAGTCATTTAGTTTATAAACGACAATAAGCAAATAAATGTCTATACGCATTAGAAATCACTTTTTATTTATTTTATACCCTACTTCTCTCCCAACAAAGGGACTCAAAGCTTCACAAGATTTAAACAAACTAATGAACAGCTAAAAATAAAATAAATTCAATAATACAATAAGTCATGCCAAACAAATCTTATTGCCTTTGATAAAGTGACTAAATTAATGGACCAAGGAGAAAACACAGTAGATATACAGTGGTGCCTTGACCTATGAACATCCCGACTTACAACCATTTCGAGTTACGAGCAGGTCCGGCTGCAAGATTTTGCTTCTACTTACGTCTGGAGCGTCAAGTTACAACCAGAAAAAAGGCAGGGAATTCAAATTGCTAACCGTTGGTAGGCAAAGAGGCTGCTTCTTTGTAGAGAAGCCTCTGTAGAGGCTGCACTCTTTCGCCCCAGTGGTTAGAATGAGTGTGATCAGAGGAGGCTTTGGACTGCTTGGTAAGGTGAGGTGCTGCTTTCTGCTTTTTAAAAACTTCTGGGTGGGTATTGCAGTATGGGTTTTGGCTGGGTGATGGGATTATGTTTTTATGCTGTGATGGGTCTTGCGGGGTTTTTGGTGTTTTTTTCCCCTTTTCTGATGCGTCTTGGGTGGTTTGTTCGCTTTTTGTTTTGTTTTTCCCATTTCTGATGGGTGTTGAGTTCATTTGCTTTTGGGTTCCCCCCCCCCCCCCATTTCCGATGGGTCTTGCACAGTTTGCTTGCATTTTACTTTACTTTTTTGTATTTCTGATGGGTCTTGCACGGTTTGCTTGCTTTTTGCATTGCTTTTTTGTATTTCCAATGGGTCTTTCACGGTTTGTTTGCTTTTTGCTTTGCTTTTTTTGGTACTTCTGATGATTTATCTAAGGCCATCTTAGATCTTATTCATTGCAGATATGAGGTATGAACTGAAGACTTGTGTAAGCACTGATACTTGATTACTGTGCCTCTTCATATACTACATCCTAGCTCCTTATAAGCAGAACTTTGCTCACAAAAGACTGGAACTGGTGGTAAAGGTATTAAACACATCAGGGCTACAAATGGAAGACGTGAATGAAACTGGTTGATTACACAGTCTTGAAACCAACTGAGTATTTCACTCAGTATTTAAGCTCCTCTATGTCAAAGATTTCTTGAGAGAACTATCAGGACAAACACTCTAGTTTTTTGGGAAAGAATGTTTTAATGTCATGACTTTTGACTGCTACTGTCAAGCAGATTTGTATGATGCCTCCCTCTTTTCTGACACACAGCAGGCAGACAGAGTAACTTCCCTTTATAGTGATCCATATGTTTATCTTGTTTGTGGTGTTCCAACTGTAATTTGTTATTTCACTCCTGTAATGTCCCTATGTAGTTTCCCCATACTTCTTCCTCAGAACATTACAGTAGTAGGGGGTTTTTAACCTTGAAGGGAATCTAACTTCAAATTGTCTCACACTCCCTATATTTTTTGTAAAATGTAAACAGCTTTGATCCTGTGTTGTATCTGTTATCAACCTTCCATGGTTACATGTGGTTTGAAGGTGGGCAATACCTTTATTAGACAACTAAAAATCGCCAACATAAGGTAGTTTTTTTAACCCTATACAGGTTTTCATGAAACCAGGCATCAAACTTGTTTCTTAAAAGTTATAGGAGTAATAGATACAAGTCAGAGGTGTAGATTTCATATTCTACCTCTTCTGGTGTGGATTGACAGTCCTTATCTAACAAGATTGGAAGAGACATTGGACACACCAGTGGAGGTGGAATCTGAAGCCTACACATCTGATTTGTATCTGCAGCCCCCATTTTGAAACTTACTTTTAATAAAGGAGTCTGGCATGCAGATCTGATCAGGATTTCTGCAACTTTTATGTATATTCTACATCACCCATAGCTCTGTAATACCCAGCATGATTAAGACATATAGAGAGTTGAAAACTAGCAGCTTATGTTTGTGATTTTCCAAACGAGCATGTATTGCTGTGTAGCCAGTTGAGAGTAGGCATGTTTTCCTTTTTTACTTTGTCCATCTCTTTATTATGCAGCTACAGATACAGATTAAAACAGAATAACATGAAACAAAGTAATTATTTTAAAACAATTAACTGGTTATGTCTTGAGTGCATACTTGTGAAATTGTTTAGGAAAAGTATAGCCTCTCCACAAGGGCCCAAATACGTGCCATGCCCCCCATTAAAAAAATACTGAGAAAGGACCTTTGTGACCTCCAGGGGAACATGGAAAGCAATTTTGCTGTGTTTGGCGGGATCATTGCCCCTGCCGCCACAGAAGAGAAATGAAAAATTGGCCCCTAGAGGATGTGAAGGGGCTTCTTTCATTACAAAGCAACTTCTAAAAGAAAACTATTTTGAAAGTGGACAGGAAGCAAGTAGTATATCCTTCTAAAGTACATGGGCTCATGATGCATGTGTGCATACATAACCCTTAGACATCTGGAAATTATCCATGCCTGCTTTATATTGTTAAAATATAACCAGCATAAGGGTTAGCAGATCTCTTCATTTAGAATCTTTGGAGAACTATTAGTGGCTTGTTATTAGTGTTCCATTAAATATTTGTATGAAAAAAATCTACAGGCATACTCATTATGCAGTAAAACATGGGGAGCCAATTGTGAAAGGCTCATAGACAATGTACTAGCCCTGTATTTCAAGGTTTCCTGATCTCTTTTGTCATTTCAGACTGTCAGCCGCCATTTCAGAAATATCCCAGTGAATGAGAAAGAGACCCTTGCATACTTCATCTACATGGTAAAGAGTAATAAGAGTAGACTAGATCATAAGTCAGAAAGCAGTAAACTGGAATGAAGATTAGGCAAGCTTTGGACACAAGCAAGTATGATATTAAAGGTGCATTATAAGTATTTTTCTATACATTAAAAGGCTTTTTTGTAAATTAAAGTGTACATTAGAAAATAATATAGAAAACCTTGGTCCAGAATATATGATTCTAGAACGTATGGGAAGACTTCTGCATTTTCAAAGCCTAATAATTAACTGAGGGGAGAGAGATCCCAGGAAAAATCAAAATATCAACAACAGAGTATTAAACAAAGTCTTGCATGATATAAACCTTACATGGGATGAGTTTGCTATCTTGAACTGGATCATATTATCTGGAGGCTTAGCCCTGGAATTTGGAAACAAAAAATCTTAATCAGTAAATGTGATATTACTTTTCTCATGTTTTCATGGATGTTGGAGGTTTCTAAAACTACCCTTTCTGTATGTTCCATGGCCAGCTGGGAAGAGACAAGTCTTGGTTGGCAAATATTAAAATTAGCCAGCCATGCTGAGTTGCTAATCTGTTAGAACATTTGTGTCATTCATAATACAAAATGTTGAACTGTTAAGTATTTCAGTTCTTCAGAAACAGTTTTGTTGAATGGAGAGCCGCTATGATTTTAATATGTTGTCTGCTCTTCTGGAGTTTGAGATGTATGTTTTGAGTGTCTTCACAATGATGCTCAAAATGGGTTAATTTATTTTGCTGTGGGTTTTAATCCATATGCAAACTACCAGATTAAGTTTATAACTGGATGTTGTTAGGAAGCCATTTCATCATAAACTCAATCTTATTAAAGCATAAAAAATAGGTAACCCTTCACTTTAATGGCCTGTGTGATCCTCTGAGACTTGAATGCATGCTACATAGAATAGCAGTGATGGTAACATTTTTCCTAAATGTGAGTTGGTTTTAGCAATGATGTGTATGAATTTAATTTCAGCGGTGAGAATTGATGCCGCCTATTTGCCTGTCCTAAATGCACCTAACTGAATTGTGTCATAACAAATCACGTAAAGTTTCTGTTGTCTTAAATTTCTTGCAACTGTTCATGCCATCCCAATTCAGAATTCAGTGTGCACTGCAGTTTACACACATACAATTTTCCCATACTGTTCTGTGTTAGAGGCACCATCTGACATAGCCTCCAACCTGTGGCCAACAAGCCTTTTTAATCTGTCAAGTGCTTACTCCTTGCTTCTAATTCCAGATTTTTTTGCCCCAGGCAAATTTCATAAGCAGATTTGTGAGAAAGCCATATGAGCTGTTCTCTGCAAAGTAAGCCACAAAAGAAGACTTGATCCAAAGGACAGAAGAATTGTGTTACTATTTCTGTTATTTCAGATTTTATTCATGGTAAATCTTGAAACAGTGCCATCTCAGTTGTCAACTTTGGTTTTTTAAAATTGTGGTCCTAAGCACTTGGCCTTGCATACTGATGAGGTGGTAGATAAAGAAATAGTTTAAGGTAAGATGCCAAGAGTTTGCTCTGAGGATGATTTCTCAAATGAGAAAATTACAGGAAGGCATTCAAGTGTCACAGGTATTGTTACACAACTAAATTGTCCTTTGATGAATGACCAAAGGGAAGGAACCTGCCTAATTTAGTACTTCATATATTTGCTGTGAAAAGATATAAGGAAGTAGCCACCCATTTTAAAAATCTTAGTTCTGACAAGGTATGTGAAAACCTGCACTTTATTTCAAAGAGTATGAAGTGAGTTCACATACAACAATGTACGTTTGTTTCTGTTGGGAACAGATGGGTAAGAAACATCAAGTGTGTGTATCACCAATGCATAGTTTCCCAGTTAATTAAACGTTAAGAGTTTACATTTTTTGGAAGGCTCATCAGAGAATATGTAAATTTAGTACATCATACTTCAGCAGACGTATAGATATGTAAGTAGAAACAGTGCTGAAATACCTCAGATCTCTACTTTGCATTTTGAATTTCACAAGAGTTGTTCTACTTCCCTGTGCGTTGAAATAATGAATTAAACTAGCCATAAGATCAGTTAAATAACCTTTAAAATTGAGGGCTTAATAAAATAGTATTTTATTATTTGTAAGTTCATATTGTATAGCTTGGTGACCATGGCAAAATTATTCTAATTCAAGCACCATATGCCTCACTTCTAGACCAAAAATTTAAACCATTTAGTGTTATAGAGTTAGGGCTTATTTTTATAAAGCAAATAACTGCAGAGTTTCAGAATGACTGTAAAATCAAATGCAGTGGCAGGTGCTCTATCTGCAGAAGCTGCTTTAAAAATCAGCTAAAGAAATTTCTCAAATTAATTGGTGAAAAAGTTGATATACCATATATCGACAAATTAATATCTTCAAGATGAAGAGATTGCAAAATCTCACCATCAGATCTGAGGAACAGTGGATGTTCTGATCCTTGAGTCCTGTTGCCTTTTATAGACATCTGTACATGCCTTATTCCCAGCTAGAACAAGTGTTGATCTAATGTCTTGGCAGCAGGGTGGATTTGATTTAAATCAATTTGATTTTTTAAAAATTATTTTTATCCACCCTGCTTGGCAGCCAGAATTAGCCACTTTCATGACTTATTGTGCTAGAAACAAATCCTGTTAACAGCAATATCTATATTCAGGGAGAAGTCTGTGGTCCTCAAACATCTTGTTTTAAATCACTGAGAATGCCATATTGCAGTTGTTTAGTAAAATGGCAGATTATTCTGTATGCCGTTTAAGGAAACTTTTCAGTTCCTTGTGGTTTTAATAAAACCTTCATCAGCATTTTTGAGCTTCAAAGGGTATAAATTCTTAAGCAATGGCTAAAATTAATAGAATACATGAGAACATGGTCACATTGACATGTTCGTAAATACAAACTGGTGGACTGTATTTTATTGTCATTGTTGTCAAATACATGTGGGGTTAAAGCTATTCAACAGTGATCCTCAGTCCAGAGAGTAAATGTTTCCACACATAGGGCTTCGTAGTGAAATATCATATTGCTAACCATATTTATTTTGAACAGAACTTTCTCCAAACAAAAAGATCTGTTTGAAGCCTCTAAACTCATTTAAAAACCCACTTTAATTCTAGAAGAAGGGCCATAATTGTTTTAATGGCTTTGCATCAGAGCCGAAGACCTTACTGTGGCACATCTTCTATAATGAGGTTAACTTCATCAAAGATGGTGGTGGTCCTCAGTGTGTTAGTTGTTATACTTGTAGTGGTAGCACCAGCACATTAATTTTCATTTATCCCTTAAATTGAATGAAGGAAAGAGCAAAGGGAAGGGGGAATGTGCAATCAAGATCACAGGAATGGGATGACACATCTATGAATATGTAAAGCAGTCAGACCCAAATGAGAAGAGGTCTCACCCATTTCAGCTTACAGTGGGTTTCTGAAATGTAAATATTACATATCAAACTTACATGTTAAAATTTCAACATTTGTCTTACAAGACAGTGTCATCAGTTAAGATTCAAAAGGGGACAGTTGTGAAGTTTTGCAGAACATTTGAGTCTTGGAGTTGGAGTACTAAACCAAATACTGTAGTTTGCTTCCTGTCACCTGAAAAAATTGTCAGTAAAAATAGTGTGAGTAGTCCTGTAGATCATCTTAAAGCCTATTGCCCATGGCAAGATTATTTTTCAGATTTTGAAATCAGAATAAAAGCAGCAATGAGCAAGGTATAGCTCAGAAAGGTAGCTGTTGGTGACTTGTGTGAAAGAAGACTTAATAAACAGTGTTCTTAATTTAATAATAGATTAGCCAAATGCAAATACATGGGGAAGAAGGGGAGATTGGGAACCTTGCACTTTACCTTGTGTTGATAAATTGTAATGTAAATTAAATAAAAACTCTTGATATGATTGAGAAGAAAACATCTTGGTAAAGGTGTTTGCCTTAGAAAGCAATCTTATGTTCAGTGCACTAGTGTCAATTCACTCTACACATTGAAGCAAGAGATTGGCAAATCTTCAGAAAAGAAGAATTTATGCTAAGAGAATTGATTAAATGGCCCTAATACAAGAAAGCAGTTAATACCCAACATGCTCTACTGTGATTCTACATGTGTGTATAGATTTTTAAAATGTGATCATTAATGGTGCAGGGTAATTCTTGCTCTTCTGTGAAATTTACCCATTCTCAATTATTTTCAGTTCTTTAATTAGGTATTAAATTATATATGTTTGTGGAGGGAAATGGGCTTATGCCTTAAACTCAGATTTTCAATGAAACAAGACTTATGAATTATTTAGCAATAGGTTTTTCTGCAGTTAATTTTTACCTCTCTCAGCCATAGGCTTATGGAGCTTGCCTTTTTTAAAATTATGTTGCCTTCATCCCTCCTGTCTTGTCCTGCTGCACGCTAGAAAAAGAGAAACACGTATTGGCTAATGTGTTTTTATCCCCCTTTGAGGCTTACTGGAAGAAAGATTCCTTTTGCCTTCATTCAGTCTGGTGGATCTTTATGTGTTGTATTGATCTTTATGCCAAATGTTTTGGATAAACTTGTATTTTTAATTGTGAATTATAATTGTGTACTCGCAAAGCAATCTATTAACTTATAGTAAAACCATACAGTTCTTTTCTCTGAGGTGTGTAGTGCATTCTTCCTTCCACTGTGTGTAAGACTTAAAACTGTACTGTTGCATAAAGATGTAAATGGCTGAGATTCATTTCTAATAAATGATCCGTTGAACAACCAGATGCTTGTTTCTTTGTCATGTTTTGTAATTGTACAAGGAATCCAAATTTAATAAGCATAAGAAACATAGCGGCACAGGTAATATGTCATATGTTTGAGGAGGGAAGACCTATTTTGCCAACGTGGCAGAATGGGCAAAACTAGCCTCAAACCCTGTTTTAAGCAGTTTCAGACTTTCTGTTATCAATACAAGTTCCCTTTATGTATAATTCAAAGTAGCTTTTAGATTTTGTTTCATGCTGTTGAATCACTTTCAAGTTAGGGCAACCCTAATAAGGTTTTTGAGGTCTTGAATCACTCCTTGAATCACTTTCAAGGAGTGATTTATCATTGCCCAATTCCAGTGAGTTTCTACAGCCAAGTGAGGATTTGAACCCAGGCCTCCCGAGACTTAGTCCGACACTATATCTGTTACAACATGTTGCCGGTCATAATTTTTAAATTCCGATAACAAAATATACATTACTTCGGTTGTGGGATATTTCCTGTGTCCAATGAATTGCAGTAGCCCCCTCCAAGAAAATTTTTGCTACTTTCAAATGAGGCCAACCTGCACACAACCAGACATGTAGTATCTGTTTTGTTGCACCACTCGCTGAAAACCAACATAGGGTAATTCTTGTCCCACTATATTACTATGGTCTGGCACAAAATGACCCATGGCACTTTGGGTTGGATCCAGCTTGTCTTCTGGCAGCAGGAGCATTCCCTTAGTGGAATTCCAATCAGTCTCTCTCTCTCTCTCTCTCTCACACACACACACACACACACACACACACACACACACACGTTCTGGAACAAATGTCAGGAAAAGAAACTGCGAGGGAGGATGGAACCAAAAAGGTTGTGCATTTCAATTCCATTAATAAGATTTCTTCACTAGATCAGCAGCTGTGTAGAAATGGGTGGAGCCTTGCTATGCAGGCTTAGTTTCTCATGCCCATTGATCTTCCAAATGGGGGCAACATGGAGTAGAAGTTCTGGTCATGACCAAAGTACATGAGTTAAAAAAGGCATGTGTTGGCTGTTGCAATCCTTCGACCAGATTAATGGGAGGATTTCCACTTCACGGAATGTCTTTGTCCTGTCTGATGTTAGTACCTGTTGTGAGTTTTGTTTCTCTGTGAAGTTGAAAATCCACTGTGACTACATCTTATTTAGTCTAGTGAGCTGTCTGACCACCTAACCTCATTAATTGCTGCCTAATAAAAATGTGAACCTTGATTCCAGCCATGCAGTGCTTTTCTAGGCTTTCCAGACCTGTTTTCCTTTGTGCACTTTCATAAAATAGGGAATATTCTTCCAGTTTTTCAAAATGTGGAAGCACCATAATCAACTATCCTTACTTAAAAGGGAACCAGAATGTTGTAGTGAAAAGAGTGCTGGGCAAGGATAGAAGAGGGGAAGTCTGGGTTCAAATCCCATTTAGCTATGCAGCTCATAGTGTGACTTTGAGCCGGACACATATCAAATTACAGTAGTACCTCGGTTTACAAATGCCTTGGTTAACGCAATTTTCGGTTTACAAACAAAAATCCATTGAAAATAATGCCTCGGTTTATAATTTTTTTCTGCAGTATGAAGGAAGTTTCCCCAGGATGCATTGTGCCTGGAGGTTTATAGTGCCGCCCCCATTCCTATGACAATCTGCATTTCGGTTTATGAATTTTTTGCGTTATGTAACATTCCGGAGAATGCATTCGTAAACTGAGGTACTACTGTACCCTGTTTTGAACAGTTGTGAGTAGCACTGGCCATCTTGAGGAAAGAGCAGGAAGCAGGCATAGTTATTTCTATTCATGCCTCAGAAATCTATACTGCAAATGTGCTATTTCTACACAAAATAATAATAACCCATCCCCTTGCAAACTATGTTAGAAGTCTTCTATTTAGTGCCAGGACCCATGAACAAAGGCATTTGAAGGGAAAACAAAGAGCAGACTGATTCATACAGAGATGGTGATGATAGCAGAGTAAGGGGATACTGTGATGCATCTATTCCCAAATACAACAGAATTAATTACATTATACATGTATCTAAGAATGCTGGGTTTTTTTCCCAATCATCCAAGTCAAGGCAGACTCCTTTTCTTAAAAAAAAAAGGGGGGGGGACATGTACATTTTTAGAATCTGTATACATTGTAGCTTCTGAACTATCTTCCTTGATGTATCTACCACAAGCCTTGAGATTCTGTACAGTGCTCATGTTTCTGTGAATATTATTGGTGTTTTGCCATCACTGTATCAGTAAATCTGTACTCCTTTCTTGAAAACTGCATGAAAGAATGTGCAGGTTTAAAAAACCCATAGCTCAGGAGATTTATTTTATTTAAAATATTTTTACATCATCTTTCTCCTTAAAAGGGCTCGAGGTGGGGTAAAAATACTTTAAATATAATTTTTTAATTTTTATTTTCTAAATTTCCAGTTGAAGGCTAAACGTACTGTCATCTCACTGACTTGTAACTACAACCTTTGGTATCATTATTGTTGGAATCCTGGACTGTGATTATTTTCAGCAGCTCCTTGTTGTATTCTTTTTTGACCATAAGAGGGCAGTGTCATCTAAGCAACACAGTTCATTTTGCCTGTGTCAACATCCTCCCCTCAGCTGCAGCTATGTGATTTCCTGACTAAGCAAGGAAGGTTTTGCACAGCTGTTAGAAGGGACCCCAGTAATTTTCCTGTCACAAATGGGGCTTTTTCCTTTCGAAGTGGTTGCACTTGTCAGATACTGGAAGTAGGATTATGCGGTATTAAAGGAAGTGGATGTCATTAAAAAAAAAAAAGATTGGCTGTCCTTAATGGCTTGGTTGAGAACGAAATAGAACATTGACAGTGGATTGGATCCCTGAAGGAGTCTTTTCTCTACCCTTTCCATAGTGTGTGATAAAAACCAGGCTTTGATTTTTCTCTGCATCCTTGTTATAAAGATCAAATTGGAGGAAAGTGAAGAATGTAAATGGGGATTTAATGACTGGGAGTTTTATAGGCAATCTGTTATCGAATAGGCTGGAGTCTATTGTAGTGGCTGAGACTTACATATTACTTTTACCCAGTATACCTAATAAGGAATGACTTCTTAGCTTTTTTAGCCCCTCATTGCTAGAGCTGAATTCACATCTCTATTATGTATGGAGAAAGGATACGTTCTCAGACTCTTGTAAAAACATGCTGGAGAAAAGCTTGGATTTTTAAAAACCTGGTTTAAAAGCTGTTCTCTAGTTTCTTTAGGCTGTGGATATCATAGCGGCACACATGAGGATTTGCTCAAAAAAATAGGACTCACAGTCACAGAAAGCACATTTGACCACCACGCAGCCTTCACCAACCCGATACTCTTCAATTTGGGAGTCAAATGACAAGATGGTGCAGAGGAATCAACTTCTGTTGTGATAGATATTAGTGTTAGTAATGAGCAGCGTAGCCTAGCAAAGCTAAAAATGTTTTACTGGACTGTCCAGCATGGGCCCAGTCAAGACCACTTAGTTTGCATGAGTTGGTTTGGGTGAGGTGATGGTATTGGTATCAGTATTGTATACATAACCCTCCTCCTTTCTATCCATCACCAGCACATGATCCACTGCTTTACATGATTCTACTGAGCCTGAAGAAAAGTGCGCCGTCCAATGATGCCTTCATGACATTTCTTATGTAGGAAGAAAATGCAAGGATCAGGCTTGGAGTTCTGTTCTCTCATTGGTGTATCAATTCAATTTGCAGTTGCTGAAGGAGAAGTTCTGAAACTCCATAGCATGGAGATGTTCATCTGGCTATGATGTACAGGCTAAAGGTTCTCATGTTGGGAAAGGCTAGGAACACATTGCAGTGATTTTATTTTAAAGTCAGCCAAGGACCTGAGAGACTGGAAGGCTGCCATAGGATCAAAGGCCTTCCTGACTGTAAATCTTTCACCTGCAACTGTTGCTTAGTGGGGCTTATGGCCATTACGTTGAGGTCAAGCTTAGGTCAAGATTTCTCCTGTCTTTTCAGTCCTCAAATTCAGAAACATCCTCCTTATCTTTGACGCCATCTTGACAAAAAAAACAAATTATGGCCCAATTATTCTCTCTTAAGGAGCCATCCAAAGGGCTGAGGGGGACACCTTAAACAGTAAGAACTTTCAGGTGGTTCCTTAAGAACATGTAAGCAAAAGAAGGGAGAGGGAAAATGCCAGGTACTGGCAAGGAAAATGCTTTTACTTTACCTTTTACTATGCACACACACTTCTTGGTAAATCAGCTGCTTTGTTGCCTTAAGAGCAGTCCACAAGAACACCATTCCATAATTACTGAGTAATTATGATTTGCTGAATACATGTTTTTCCTTTTTGAAACAGAACTGCAGATCTCAGTTTGGTTGTATCATCACAAAACAAGGAGAATGAACCCAGCAGCCTTCCCAAATTGTTCTCTCTAAAATGTGTTGTTCTGTGTCTGTTCTAAATTGATTTCATGGAGCTGGAAAGATAGCTCAGCGGTAAAGCACATGTTTTCCATGTAGCATGGAGCTGGAACCCATGACACCGTCAGTTAAAAGGAGTAGAAGATGACCGAGTTAAACAAGTACTGTTGCATTGAAAGTCATACGCAAACGTTTCTTCAGCCAACAACTTCTCCTTCCTTCATGTCTTTTCCCATTTATCTCACTTCAAATGATCAGCTGTTGCAATGTGTACTTTTAATTTCTCATTATGACTGAAGTACTTTTTTTTTCATTTTTCAAAAAAGAGTCAACAAGTCTTTGTCACTGGAAACAGTGCACTCTCTCTGCTCCACTCAGTTACTGTTAACAAGGAGGCAAAAGGGGTTTTCCTCTAGTCCCTGCAATCAACAATCTCTTATCTCCATACACCAGTGCTCACCTCTCTTCTCATCCCGCAATTTTTTCATTGTTTTTTTAAAAAATTAGTTCTTCACTAATTACCCTACTTTAACTTTGGCATCTTTCGGNCTGCTCCCTCTCTCTCTCTCTCTCTCTCTCTCTCTCTCTCTCTCTC